CCAGGGAATTCCCTATGCAGCTTCTCCCTGCCAGTGCAGCTTCTGCCTAGCCCTACTTTGCCAATCTGCTGGCTCTGCATGCACATGGGCTACCCTACAGACTGAGAGCCCTTTAATGTCATGGTATGAGAGTGGAGTGCTGTCACAAGTGAGGTCTTCCCAGTTGCATTTCATGCAGCTGTCATATAAAGTGGCACAAAGGATGCTTAGTATGCAAAGCATAACTGGTATTAAGTAGGGATGCCAGCCTCCAGGTGTGGCCTGGGGATCTCCCAGAATTACAGCTCGTCTCAAGACTACAGAGATCAGTTCCCCTGGGGAAAATGGATGCGTTGAAGGGCGGACTCTATGGCACTGTACCTCACTGAGGTCCCTGTCCTCCCCAGGTACCTCCAGGTGTGGCCTGGGGATCTCCCAGAATTACAGCTCGTCTCAAGACTACAGAGATCAGTTCCCATGGGGAAAATGGATGCGTTGAAGGGCGGACTCTATGGCACTGTACCTCACTGAGGTCCCTGTCCTCCCCAGGTTCCATCCCCAAATCTCCAGGAGTTCCCCAATCTGGAGTTGGCAACCCAAACTCCTGTCCACCTGCAGCCATGGGTGACCTGGCAACCTGAGTATTAAGTGATCTCATTCACACCTCTAGATTTCATGTACTTACAAAATGGCTTTGATAACTTGAGTACAGCCCCCAATGTGCCACTGATATGCCACTCATGTCAACTGAACCTCAGCACATCTAATCCAAGTGCATGGCTACAGCCTTTGACCACAACAGCAAAAGGCTCTATAAGGTTTTTCAAAAATAATGTATTAAAAAATACTGTTTAACATGTTCCTTGACATGCATTGCAATTGGGACAAATTCCTGTTTATCTATGCATGATTACTTGTAATGCTTTAATATCTGCTCGAGAAACTCCCAAAAGTCGTGCGCACACATTTGTTAAAAATGCATATCACATGAACAAACAGGACAATCCTAAGACAGAGCTTCAAGTCAACAGACTTAGAAAGGTGTAACTCTGCTGAGGATGGCACTGGAAAGTCTTGCCACGTGCTAATGACAGACAGCTTTCATAAACTAAGCTCCACTCAAGATGCATAGGCTCCAGGAAATAGGTAGACAGGCAGACAGACAAATATAGGTATTTTTGCATTTGTGTGCAGGCATGTGAGCTCATGCCTGGAAGTCATGGCGACCTCTGGCGACTCCTACGGAGGCATGGAGGACATTCAGAGAAGTGGCTGATATAGCCTGCCTCTGCCTCCCAGCCCTGGTATCTCTTGGAGGTCTCCCATCCAAATACTTGCCAGGATCAGCCCTGCTTAGCTTTCAAGATCTGACAAGAGCGGGCTTGCCTGGGCTATCCAGGTCAGGGAGGCTCCAGGAAATATTAAACACTAGAAATAGGAAGATGTGTAAAGCATGTCTAGTAGAAAAACAGATCAAATCCTGAAGCGTGCTTCTTCGACACTCTGCCTGGAAAACAACAAAGTAAATCTAATGGCTATGTTGCAGAAATGGCACAGGAAACAACAACTATGCCAAAGACACATCAATCCTCATTTTCAGGTCACTGTAATAATTAATGAGAACTTGGGTTGTGAAAATAACTATGTACTAAGTTGGTTACTTCTAGAGGTGAACAATCGGATACCGCCGACTCATTACAATATCCAATATTTCCTGTAACATCAGATCAGCAATATCTGATACTATGAAAGGCTCTCCTGATATATCCCAATTTTAATAGTTTTCTCCCAATAAATACTGGAAATATCTGGAATCAGGTCAGGAAGCCCTTCACTGTTGACAGCTGGTCCACAGTGCAACTACCCTTTAAACTTTAAAGGGCCCCCAGACTCCACTGAAACAGTAAACTGAAATTTAACAAACCCAGTATGCTATATTCTTCTAGGAAGCACAGAATCGACCTAAAACGAAGCAGGGATTTCTGGCACCTTCACTCATCTTAAGCAAAAAATATAAAAGAAATATCTGAAATTGGAAACAGATCAATTGTGAAACACTCTGTGTGTGTGTGTATTTGGCAAGGACACACTGCCTTCTTTTCAGACTGATCCAATATTTTAAATACCACATCCATGATTCCAGGCACTTACCATGCTGCATTTCAACAAGACACAGGTTGAAAATCTGCTGAACTATATTTAGACGAAGTTTGCCGTCGCAGAGGATAACAGCTCGCTTTTCAAGTGTTACAGTTCCCGCAGAATCCTTCTGTAAATAAAGGATAAATGTTTTAGGGCTAGTGTGTTAATTAGTTTTACTTCAATCTGTTCTGGTGTATCCAGATCCAGCAAGGCTGATCTGCATGTTCATCATCTTATTGGATGACAGTTGAGCAAAGTTAAAATACCCCTATATTTTTTCCTCATCAAGTCGCAGCCAACTTATGGCAACCCTGTAGGGTTTTCAAGGCAAGAGACATTCAGAGGTGGTTTGCCACTGCCTGTCTCTGTGTAGTGACGCAAGACTTCCTTGCTAGTCTCCCATCAAAGTATTAATCAGGGCTGACCCATCAGGGGTGGCCAAACTTGTTTAACGTTAAGAGCCACATAGAATAAATGTCAGATGTTTGAGAGCCACAAGACATAAGCAAACACAACCCACGCATTTCTATTGAAAAATATGCAGATTTGCTTTTTATTAACATTAAATGAGACTGCCAAAAAATAAAAACAAAAGGGGTAAAAACAGATATCGATAATGATATTGGAAGGAAGGAAGGAAGGAAGGAAGGAAGGAAGGAAGGAAATAGATGGGGGGAGGGAGGGAGGTGGAGGTGGAAAGCAAGGAGAAGGGAAGACCGATTGGGGAAGCATGCCTCCCCTTCGCTTCCCTATCCGCCCTGCTGGGAGCCACACAATATAAGTGAAAGAGCTGCATGCGGCTCCCGAACCCGAGTTTGGCCACGCCTGATATATATATATTTAAAAACCCAGAGTAGCATGGATGGAGATCCTTGTGGCACTAGATCTACATGTGCATCTTCTACCAAACAATCAGTGCAGTCAGCTCAAACTTTGCTAAATGCATGCCAAGACTGAGACGTATCTAGCCTTCTTGTCTACACAGAGGGATTCTGAAAAGGCACAGATGGCTTTGAAAGAGGTTTAAGGCATTCATGGAGGAGAGATGCATCAAGTGGCTACTAGCCATGGTTACTAAAAAGAAACTCTACTTTCTACCCAAGGTAAACAAGGTAACTAAAAGGAAGATTCACATCCTGAGGCAGTTTATCTTGGAACACCAGTTAGGAGGCAGCATTAGGGTAAGGCCTTGGCCTCTATGCCAGGGGTGGCCAAACTTGCTTAACGTAACAGCCACATAGAATAAACATCTGAGAGCCACAAGACATGAACAGATATTACATGTTTTTATTGGAAAATATGCAAATTTGCTTTTTATTAACATTAAATGAGACTGCCAAAATAATAACAAAAGTGGTAAAAGCGGATATTGATAATGATATGTATTTGTCCAATGATATCTATTTGCTAATGATATTTAGCTTCCCCAATCACCCTGTTGGGAGCCACACAATATGTGTGAAAGAGCCACATGTGGCTCCCAAGTCGCAGTTTGGCCACCCCTGCTCTATGCTGTTTGGCCCTCGGGGGCAACTGTTGACCACTATGTGAAAAAGCCGCTGGACTAGATGGACCACTGGTCTGATCCAGCAGGACTCTTCTTATGGTTCATCCCCAGTGGGAAATTCCCAGACTGTACTGCATGCCTGTTTGGTATTCCTAAGGCCTACACAACCAATTCTAAACAGTTTTCATTCCTTTCCTCTGCAGCAGGCCAACCTTCTACACAAAAGGTAAACCTCCCTCTGAAGAAAGGAAGCACATTTTAGAGGTAGCTATAATTTTATAGCTGTAGCTATAGATGTAGCTATAATTATGAAGTGTGTAACTGCAGATGCCTTTGTTCAAAAGTTACCTGGCAAGTGATATTAACAAAAGAGGGTTCTCGAGAAGATGGGTATCCCAGCAGAGGTTTTTTCCCAGATTTCAGAAGCTCAGTTAGTTCAAAAAGCTGATGCTGCAACTCTGTAAAGCTGCTACACAACCTTTCGAGATTTTTAGGTAAGTAACTGGCTTCTTTTTCGCTTCGCAAGACGTTAACATTGGAGGAATTTAAAATTTCTGGAGATCTCTGCACTCGCTGGTTTGGAGAAGCTGGTATATCAGCCAATCTGGAAGATGTCTGAAGCCCTTGAAGAACTAGCAAGCGATTTGTTGGTTCAGTATCCAGAGTTTCCAGCATTTGGGGGAAATCGTTGGAAATATTCTTTTCCTTTAAGTCAACCACACTCATCAACAGGTTCTTATCATTCGTAGGGCTCTTAATTTCTTCGATGAGTTTTTTTTTACTTCTAGGAGAGGAAACCACTGTGCAGCCTGGGAGGAGCAGTCCGTCGCTCAGAGGGTGAACATCTGAATGAGTTTCGAGGCCCTCTCTTTTCACAGCCAGGCTTACAGAACCAGCTGCAGCAGAGCTGGAAAGTGCAGAGGAACCCTCTTTGCATACAATTTCTTTGATCATCAAACGAAGAAGGTACTTGTCTGATCGTGAGGATGGAAGAAAAGCAGGATCTGTTAATTTCTGTTTCCCAACCAGTATCAGTAATAGTCTATCTGTTAGGAAACACAATCCCTTTGGCCTCTCGCTTTTCTCAAGATGAATCTGTTGAATGTTAGGTAAGTGGGAGGACGTTAATGAGTACACCAAAATTATATTACAAGTGTTGGACGCTATGGCCACAGTCTGATTCTTAGGGTCAAAAGTCATTATATCTGGGACCAGAATGCCCGGGATGCTGACTCTTCTGGTAGCGGTCACCTTTTTTTCAAAAGTCACCAAGATCAGATGTGACGCATCTTGGCCACTTCCTGTTAGGTAGTCCTTTGCTCTTAAATGAATGAGAGGAGTGTTGTCCGATCGGGGTTTGCTTGGAAGAATATGAGTTAGATCTACAGGTGAAGATGCAAGTGTTCTAACAGGTAAAGACTGTTCTTGGTCTAGGATCTTTTTCCCAACATCCATAGAGAACTCTTCTTCACAGCTCAGTGAGGTAGTTTGCGAAGGTACAGAGTTTGATACGTCAGTTGAGATTTCAAAAGTCGTCCCTGCATTCAAGCTACATATCTTATCTAGTGGAAGTTCGGTAGTGACAGCCACTTGGGAACTCAAAGTGGCTTCAACAGCGCAGACATAACCTCCTACATCAAATATTGGGCAGAAAGAACACGGGTTCAGTGTTTTCTGATCATCATCCCAAATATAGGAATGGAGGGCACTGCCTATCCCAATTACCAAGCGATTACCTTCTTCAGTCCAGCAAGCACAATGGACGAGCCCGGTGCCTTTGATGTCTGCTTTTATCCTGGAATTGTTGAGGCGAACCATGTGCAGGACAGAAGCGTCCCGGGTGGTCAGCACAGCCAAGTTTTCTTTTTTGGGATGCCATATGCAGCCCTGGGGGAGTACAGGAAACGCCTCGCCAATCTCGCTGATCTGATAAACCATAAGCTTATTTTTTTCGGAAGCACTGTAACAGAGTTGCCACATGGTGATGTGTTTTTTATGCTGAATGGCAAGAAGTGCTGGGACGTCTTCCGTACATGGCGGACCCCAGTAAAGTCCATGAACGTGTTCAAACTGACCCACCACATTGGAGCTGCCAAATTTAGGTTCCCCATTATGTAGGTAGAAAGACGTCAGGATCACTTGCTTTCCATCTGTCCAAGCAATGCCGTGCACAGGATGTATGGCCTGGTATAAGGCATTGAGGCCAGTTCTCAGTAGCTTTCCTTTCCCCAGCTCCATTTTTTGTTTCGTTTTTTAAATTCTGGTGGAAGACATCTGTAAACGAAAACAAAAATTCAATGTTCTACATTTGTTGTTGTTGTTGTTGTTATCAAGTTACAGCTGACTTATGGAGACCTCAGGGGTTTTCAAGGCAAGAGACGTGTAGAGGTGGTTTGCTGTTGCCCACATCCATGTCACAACCCTGGTATTCCTTGGAAGTCTCCCATCCAAATACTAGCCAAGGCTGACCCCGTTTAGCTTCTGAGATCTGACAAGATCACGCTAGCCTGGGCTGTCCACGTCTATGTATTGTTCTACATCAGGGGTGTCGATCTGTTCTACCTTTCTACATCAGGGGATCTGACATAAATGAGACCTTGTTGGGCTGGGCCATGTGTGTCATAAAATGTAATGCCAGGTAGCAGAGATATAAACTTTATAAAGGACACAAACACAAAGATAGATTTAACTTAAACTTGCTTAAAACATTAGCTCTGTAAGCAGCAAACCTACTTTTGATTTATTGACATTCACCACAGAAATCTCATGCTCAGAGTTCTGAGTCTAGGACCCAGGTTAAAACATGAAATGGCTGAGTGATTAAGAGAGTCTGGCAAAGCAAGATATGATGCAGCGGCAGCAGCAGCAGAATTGGAAGCAGGAGATGGCCAGTTCCACTGCGGGCCTGATGGAAGCCCCCCGGGGGCCTAATTTGGCCCCCGGGCCGCATGTTTGACACCCCTGTTCTACATAGTGTTTCTTAATTGGCCTTTGGAGGTATATTTGTACAGAGTACCAAGATTAAACTGAGGATAGGGTAAAAATTCAATAAATAAATAAAGTGGATCATATATAATATACTATCGATGTACTTTCTATTGCCTTCATTGCTTGTGAGTTTCTACTTCTTCTGAAACTAATGCTGGACTGGATGGATTTTTAGCTTGATCCAGTCAGGCTTTCCTTTGAAGCATTTTTGTCTAGAAATTTTAACAGTTATAGCTAGAGATACATGGTATCAAACTGTTGGGGGGGGGCCTTGCTATTAAGTCACAGCTGACTTATGGCGACCCAATGGGGTTTTCAAGGCAAGAGATGTTCAGAGGTGGTTTGTCATTGCCCACCTCTGCATTGTGTCTCTGGACTGCCTTGGTGGTCTCCCACCCCAATACTAACCAGAGCAAGCTCTGCTTACCTTCCAAGATCTGATGAGATCTCTCTAGCCTAGGCCATCCAAGCCAGGGCATCAAACTATAGGAGCTGGCTAAAACTTGGTTAATTAGATAGAACTGTCAACCACTAATGCCTGGTGCCATCAAAATATCAGTTTCCTATAAATACAGAAACAACAGTCCCCCCTTTAGATTTTTTTAAAGAAAGGGTAAAAGTCAGGTGCCATATTCTCTCACCTCTGAACCATATTTCCAGAAATAACGTTTTATGGTTTTTGGAATGGCTTTTGTTGTTTTAACTGATTTGCTGCTGGATGCATTGGCCCGCATTACAATGAGATATGCTTGTCCAATGACTTTTTCAAGTAACTTAAGATTTGATGGCTACCTTTCACTGAGGAAAAATTCTAAGTGAGTGTTACCTCCATCAGTTATGACACAAGGCTGTTGCTTATCATGACTCTGTATGATTACACCTCTCTCCTTTTTTGTCTCCAAAGATTCTGGGCAAATTAAGAGAGCCTCTTTGGACGTCACATATAATATATGCCTCGGATGTTTTAAGGTTACTACGAAAAATGTAGATACCACACAAATGTGCTTGCAAATAGGTGGCACGGGAGGATAAACTAGGGTTGCCGTCCCCTCAATGGGGGTGGGGTTTCTCCCAATTTCAGGGGCCCCAATCTGCCGCCAGCCAGCAAGCCGACAGGGGGAGCCCCATCTCCAAAGAGCCCTGTCCCGCCCAATGTGCCTGCCAGAGGTGACGTCATCACACCACGCATGTCACGCGGGGATGCTCTAGCATTTGGACAAAGACTCTATGGGGACCAGAAGACTCTCTGAGGAAGACTGAACACCCCCCCCCCCTCCGCCAACAGCCAGGTTACAAGATTTGGCACCCCTAGGATAAACAAGTGGGGAGGCCTGGGACAGTGGACCCCACAAGAAGCCCAGGCAGCTGCCCAATTCAGGGTATGCTGATGCAAGCCCTAGTCGGTTGCCAGCAAAAACACACTTGCGGGCCACTGCCACATTTATTGGGTTGCTGGCCCGTAGCTAACATGGGGCCCATGGGGCCTGGCCCCCTAGTGTTTCTTCTGGGCCCCCTCCCTCCTGGGCTAGCCCCAAAGTGCTCCAACTTACCACCTGCATTGTACTTCCATTTAATTAGCTGGCGGGGCCCCCGAGGCCCCCTCCCAAAGAATTCCCTAGCTACGGGGCTGTTGGGTTGTCAAGGTAGGCTCCGGAGCTTTGGGGGGTGGAGTCTAAGGAGGGCGGGGTTTGGGGAGGGGCTCTAGCAGGGAATAATAGCATAGAGCCCACCCTCCAAAGCAGCCACTTCCCCTCAAGCAACCTGTAGTTCCGGGACTCTCCAGACCCCAGCGGGAGGTTGGCAACGCCAGCACCAGAGGGACCGTTTGCTTCGCGCAGGTGCCGTTGGCTCGACACGGAGGCACACAAAGCCCCGCCCCCCACGCATACTGAGCTTCACCCCGTTTGACTTGGGCCCGCCCCCCTCTCACACCCACCCTCGCATTCCACGGAAGCACCATGTCTTTGCCTTTCCGGGATTGGAGCCGCGCCTCGCTCCCCGCAAGGCTGTTAGGATGGGCGCGCCTCGCCCGCTGCATGGCCAACGCCCGGGGGCGTGGCTTGGGACCCCCCAATCCAGCCTTGATTCCTTGGCCTCGTTTAGGCTTGACTTGGAATAGGAAAGGAGACCCGGAGAAGAAGGGGAGCCGGTCGATTTCGGTGTTTAAAGGCAGACGCGTGAAGGCGGTCGCGCGGGCGGGGAAATATCCCCCCCCCTTCCACTTTGAGCTACAGCCGCAGCTCCTGGGGGGGCCCGACCGCACCAAATACCCACCCCCAGCCCAGCTTCAAGTTCCTACTCAGCGCTTTGGCCCCGCCCCCCCCCCCACTTTGCCTCGCTCGCACCGTCTCCCTGAACACCCCCTCCCTCCTCCGCCGCGCGTACGCCTGCTGTACCTCAACAGAAACGCGATCATGTGGCCGCTGGGTGGGTAGGACGGCATCGGCCTCTTCCTGAGCTCGCCGGACGCTCAGTCCATCGCTACCCTTGGTTTGAGGAAGAGGCGAAGGAGATGCCCCGGTACCATGCCCTGCCCCAGGCTGCCGCAGGGGGCGCTGGATCTCGGAGGCCTTCTCTCCGCACGCCGTCGTCGATGGTAGCCGACGGAAAGGGGCGGAGTCAAGACGCGCCGGGTGACTTTTTTTCTTTCTAGGATCTTTCGTCATTGGCGCTCTACCTAACTATTGGTCTATATGATTTAACAAACGCCCCCTGCGGCAAAAAAAAACACACCCCAGCCACACAGGCGCACATTAGCAAGTCCCAGGCGAGCGGGGTCTTGTAATAAAAGTGGGTGGGATCAGTGTTCCCTCTAAGCTGAGTTAGTGTGAGCTAGCTCACATTGGTCTATATGATTTAACAAACGCCCCTTGCGGCAAAAAAAAACCACAAACCACCCCAGCCTCACACGCGCACATTAGCAAGTCCCACAATGCTGCTGGGCAGTTGCCAATGCTTTTCGGAGCATGCGCGAGCGGGGTCTTGCAATAAAAGTGGGTGGGATGGGTAACGTTGCCAGCCTCCAGGTGGGGCCTGGAGATCTCCTGGTTTTACAACTGATCTCCAGCTGACAGAGATCAGTTCCCCAGGAGAAAATGGCTGCTTTGAAGGGTGGACCCAATGGCACTGTACCATGCTGAGGCCCTTCCCCTCCCCAAATCCCGCCCTCTCCTGGATCCACCCCCAAAGTCTCCAGGTATTTTCCAACCCAGATCTGGCATCCCTAGATGGGGTGGCTGGGCTCCGAATGTGGTCAGTATGGGGCGTCTTCTTGCATCATCATTAAGGTCCCTCAGGCTGCTTCTTTCCCTCCAAAGTGTCAGTTTATAAAATGGAGTCGCCGACCTCCAGGTGGTGGCTGGAGATCTCCGGCTATTACAACTGATCCCCAGGTGGCAGAGATCAGTTCACCTGGAGAAAATGGCCACTGTGGCAGTTAGACTCTATGGTATTATGCCCCAAACCCAACCATCATCAGGCTCCACCCCCGAAATCCCCAGGTATTTCCCAACCTGGAGCTGGCAACCGTAGTATAAAACGAAAGAGTTGTAAACGGCCATATTGGAAGTGTGTAAAACCCAGGAGGGGAAATGAAAATATGTAACACCTTTCAAGTTTTATGGAACCCTTATCATCGGGCAGAGATGTTACAAAACTTACAAGTGGAGCGGGGGAAGCTATATTTCTCAGGTATAGATTAGAAGACCCTGTTGTGCCAGTCTTCGAGGTTGAATGCTGATAGGAAAGAGTCGTGCTGCATTCCTGTGCTTTTCCCTCTCAGGCAGCTGTGGGAGAGTTTTGGGAGTTTAAAGTCCAACAGATAAGGCTTTCTCTAGATGGGGGAGAAGCTGAACCTTTTTTAAAAAAGTTCTGCCTGTCATCCAGCTGTTAAAAACAAAGCGAATAGTATCTAACTTTTTAAAATGGTGAGAACCTTACAGTTGTTGATGAGGGATGTGCTGGTCATGAGAACCAGATGTTAGGTGAAAGAGCTTTTTGCATCTGCTTTGGCTGCCAAAGCAATCTTTGGAAGGCTGGAGAAGAAAACTGGTCCAAATTCCTCTCTCTTTATAGTTTGGGAAGATTATGTTGCTCTCTTATCTTTTCCTTTCTAAACCCACCAACCTCTGTTCACTTTGCCTCTGAGAGCCAAGATTTTTTTTGTTCAGAGGGAGTTTTAAAATTTTTAAGGGGGCAGTTAAATTTATTAAATTAATCTGAATGCCTGTCTTTAAAATGGGAGGCTCTGA